GAGATCTCGATTGACTAGCTTGGATGGTTGCTATGGTTGATTGCAGAGACGCTAGCTGGCTCGTTAAATGCGTTAACTGCTTTTGAAAGGAGGCTAAACAGCTAATATCTAGTGGTCCAGGTGGTTGCAATGAGTTCACACCGTGACTCTCATGGTAGACTTCCATCATTTTATCCGCCATGTCGGCTAAGTCATCAAGTGCGACGGATTTCCCTGAAACACTGAGAATTTGTCTAACGCTGTGTGGTAATCTTTGAAACCACATTTGCTTTAGGAGGGCTTCGTCTAGCTTGTATGAACCGGCGAGTTGTTTCATGTGACGGAGAAGTTGAGAGGGTCTTTCATCTCCCAAGTCACAAGACGTTAACAATTGTTGCAGCCTTTTCTCATCTGAGATCGTGGTGCGTTGAATAACTGCTGCTTTTACCTTATCGTATGGTTCCGATTCTGGTACGTGATCGATTAGATCTCCAACTTCAGCGGCAATCTCAACAGGAAGTGCACTGACTACGTATGCATACTTTGATGCCTGAGATTTTATGCCTCTAGCCATGAATAAAGCTTCAATCTGAGCAAACCAGATTCTTGGATTATTAATACAATACATTGGTAATCTTAACTATGAGATAGCGTTGATCGAGTTTAAAGCATTATCCTCTGGTTGTGGAGAGTTTAGAAGATTGGTCGATGAACTATCAATATCAATAAGTTTACCCGGAGAGTTCATAATGACAAAAACAAAAAAAATGGCGTCGTGCCAGGTAATAATAATAAAAAAAATATGCAGATATATAAGGTAAATGTCTATATAAAAAAAACGAGGCTCACCAAACAATTGTGGTGGACCAAACAATATATAAACGCAAAAGTATCAACAAAGTTAATAACAATCAATAGTAATATTAATATTTACAAGTTAAATGTTACAAATACAATAACAAATTAGGGACGTTACTTAAATCGGCTAGTCGTTGCGTGTTCTGTTGAGTCTTGGTCTCAAAATTCCACAATTATAAATGCGTAATAATTCCACAGAGGTAAATATGACGCCAATAAGTTTCTTTGACATAGGATATAATGGAAATGACACAGCAGTCTGAAATGAGGATAATATCCAGTTTAGAACGCAATTGACTTGGTAACGAACGACAATAGAACAATGAGTATGTGCGTAGTAGTGTATTTGTGAACAACCGAAAATGTGTCACGCTATGTTAGTAACACAACGGAAAAAGTCTTCAAGGTCATTTACTTAAACAACAGGTACAATCATTTAATGATAACTGTACATTCAGTGAGAAATGGACAAATACAAATAATATTAAAAACTATTTACAAAATAAGCTTGTCAGATCTATCTCCACAGATCAATAACCCGTGAATAGGCTATTTTGTATAGACTTTCTTAAGAAAGCCAAGTTTTACTGCTGATAATGCATATAAATGTTAGTAGTCGGGATCTATCCGTAAGGTTGTAGTTGGCGGTGTCTTTGTTTTTAAAGTAACGACACTGTGGTATCGTGACGCTTTTTTGCGCTACTTCTCTATTTCTGCTTTGCGTACAGCCAAACATCGAAATCAATTATAAATGAATTTGAAGCTGTATTTCCTGATTCTAAAACTGAGTGCTTTCAGGCTATAGACAAATCTACTGAATGTTGAACGCCAAGAGGTTTTCGCTCCGGGGTCATTTAAAAGTATTGTCTATCTATCATTAGTAGCCATCTAGGTGGAGGCAGAATATGCGTATGGCTAACAAATGTTTGGTTGTTAAACGGTTTATGTTGCAAAAAGCGATATAGTTATAATTTGCATACATCCCTAACGTTATTAACGAAGGTTTTTGAGGTATCCCGATCCCCCGATTTGAGCGAAACTTTTACACATTTTGGGGAAGCCGCTGTAGAAAATTTTGGGGAAATGGCACAAAAACCCAAAAATTTCCCCAATTCTGATTTATCGCGGCAGATCGGTTCTTGTTACTATTTGTAGTTGAATTGTTCTGCTACTGCGTTTACTGTGAAAAGTTAACAAGGAAAAATGGAATGCATAAATAGAAACTTTTGGGCACTTGATATTCCAGGGAAATTCCCCGAAATTTATTGTGTTAACAAAATATTTGTTCACAATTTTCAACTGATATCAGAGAAAAGCCTGGCAACTTAAGTAATAACAATCCAAAAGTTTCTATTCATGTATTCCGATTTTTTCCTGTTAACTTAGCACAGTAAACTCAGTACCAGAGCAATTTAACTACAATCGGTGATAGGAACCGATATGTCGCGATAAATCAGCACTGTTGTAATTAAAAGGCTGATTCGTCACACATGAAAATATTTGTTAAACTTTAGTAAAGTATAAATTATCCATTAATACATAACTTCTTCCAACTCCTAATAATTAATAATGTGTTTTGGAGAAGTACGTTATGTAGATGTTGAACTTTCATTCACAATGTTCTGTAGAAAGAAAAAAAGTTACTCTTTAGTAAACAAACAAATATGATGGCAATCATCCAACTTATGAATCGTAACTGCCATATAAGAGGTTGATTACGTACCAACGGTATAACAATAATGTAGTCTGAATAAAAAGCTTATAGTTACGTCTATTAACACCTGCGAAGCCAGCCGAAAATGAGATGGACGAGAAATAATTTCAGTATAAACGTTTATCAGAAACCAGTATATAGTCACATATATAAAGTGCACTAGGCTAATCCTATCTTTGGATCGCCATCCACGGCAATTTACCTTATTTCTTGAGTCGTGTAAGAAAGCCTGTTTGCAACATCCATGGCTTGTGTTGCACCGCGGAACTGTTGACACAGAATATCTACAAATAAATTAGTGCTGTGATGTGTACTTACTTTGAATCGTCCTGTAGAATCGGTAATTACTGATATCTAATTTACTGTTAGTTCCATGATTGTCAGTTCCGGATTCAGCACGTAAGCTGGACATGCTCTGATTGATTTCCAAATATCATTGCATACGATCTCGGACAATCTGACCACTTAAATTTTTTAAACACCTGTTACAACTTACGAGCTGATCACGAAACAAGAACTCCTCCAAAGCAGCTTCAAAACTGCACACTTCTCAGGTGTTTTCAATTGGGATGCGAAGCTTGAAGTGTCTGGGTTTTCGCTGCACCTGTCCTTCGCACCCATGTATATGCTCCTAACGTAAGTGGCCAATTTATCCATCTTTTTAGACAGATAACTGATTGCTTTCAGAATCATTTTGGTGTCATCAATGTACAACCTTTTGTTATCATGTTTACATTAGCTACAAATTACGGTTTACTAACTTCCATTAAAATGGATGGAGGCGGTAATGAGAAAAGCTTTGTTTTCGATGAACTGTTTTATTGACATTTATTCAATAGGTGGTTACCTCGCTGTAAGTGAGAAGTTCAAAATGTCAAAATTCAAAATTTCGACATGTGGAGGCATTTCGTTAATCGCATTTGTTAATAAAAAGCCTAGACTACACCGTTTGCTGTACTCTGTGCACACTAGAAGTAACCACATGAGGCAGTGGATGATTTTGGGACAATGTTGCCACACCGCTTTGTAGCTACGGCGTTCTACACTTCTTCCACACCAACTGAACTGTAGTTTTCATAGTCAGTGGTCGTTGACTGTTACTTCTTCTCAAATTCAGATCTTAACCTCCTCAACTTTTTGTTAAAGGTTGATCTGGGACAGCCCATCAAGTTTAACACTCTGTTGGCTGTAACCCGTCTTTTATCACTTTCATTACACTTCTGATTATTAGTCTAAAAGAAACAATTAGCTGCAGTCAGACTGAACATGTGCATCGATCGAAGGTTTGGACAGTATAAATAACTCACATGCATAGAGTGAGAGTTTTAAAAAAGTGGCGTAGAGTCCACAATTTTCGTGTCTGTTTGGCATACTAAAACAAAACCTCAACATCGGCAATGTACTCGTAACTGAAGTTCATGATAATATCCAAAAATCATATTTATTAATTGCAATTTCATCTTTGAAACTTTGAAAAATGCAACGGTTACTGACTGTTTGTCCAAAAAACAGTGCAATACAGACTTTTGCGTTTTTTCTCAAAATTTCTACATAATGTGGAGATCGGGATTGTGGTTCTCATCATGACGTAACATTAGCTATGGTGTAAGAACAAATTCCGACAGGAAATCTGATTGGTCTGTCTATATACTTTACTCCGGTAGCTATTTTTAGTACATAAATAGATTCTGTGTTTTCGCCTTGATATCTGCTTTCCGTTTAATTTTCCTAAACCCACTTAACTTTTAAAAGCAACTGAACAATAGGTCAGGAGCGAGTTAATTAACTGCTAGTGTTTACATACAATAAAAAAACAATGTTATTCACTTGTTCAAAAGGTTGTAAAGTTTTTGCACTTAGGTTTTCAGTCGAAGATGGCAATTTTGTATAAATAGTTATTGCACGTGCGATAACTACTCATTATGCATATTAGTACTAATATGCATAATGAATTAGTACTAATTTTAGTTATTGTTCCTCATCTTTTTGTTTATTAGCTTCTGTAAACATTGTTCCTTCCTCTAACTATACATATATTTCGGTTTCGGGTGTTTTAAATTTTTAGGCGAGACTAATTTATGAACGTACCAATCAAATTCAAGATAGCGGATCTTGGGTTTTGGAGCGAAATTCATTTACTCATTTGGCCAAATACTATTATAGCTGATGTCGGTCCGTGATAAAAGCATTAAATCTAATTCCTAACCCTGACATCCAACTTTAAATCCTACTCTTAATTCCTCACACAAATATACAACCCTCATTTATCCCTGGTAAGTAGGTGTACATTTTCAAGGTCATTCTAACGTTGCTCAAAGGTCGTCCATAAATTATAGTCCCACCACATTTTCTTCTGTAGGTACTACAACCATGGATCGCGATTATGCTCCACTTTCGTCCAGCTGTATAAAGAACCTTGTGGATAAGCTTTTTGATAAACGCAAATTAGCATCTCAAGAAATCGAAAGGTAATTCGTATTGCGTACTGATAGTGAACATAGAGTTGTCAAGGATTATATTAGTCAGGATAAGCTTTCAGATATTTCTCGAATCATTGGATACTTCAGCCAGGACTTTATTCAGTCTGCCAACCCTCATACTCGAAAAGGTGGTTTATTTGGTCTAGCTTCTGTAGCAATCGGATTAAATGAGGTAACGCAGTTGTATGTTACTGAATATTGCAACCTATTTAGGACGCACGTTTTTTTCATGGGCCAATAATTTTACCTATAATTCGCACATTCCATGATAACGACCCACGCGTGCGACATTATGCATGTGAAGCCCTTTTCAATGTGATGAAAATAACTAGGAAAGAGACGTTAAATTATTTGAGCGATGTGCTTGATGCCATTAGTCGAGTGAGTCAGGTTAATTCAAAATATTGATATTGCTTTCCTGATAACTAAGAGTACGTCTCGCTTTTTGCTGTACATATATGTATCATACTTTTTTCTCAAATACATTTGTAGATAGAGTAAGATTTTTATACGAGACTGTATGTAGTTCAGGTGTCACATCAGTGGAAATAAAAGCTTAGTGCTGTTGATCAACTACCTATTCTGGAATATTTGATCAACCATTCCCTGATACCCTGTGTCTAACTTCACTATTACTTACCCAGTGGTCCTAGCATATACGAGCAGTTTTTCTAAGGCATCTGTGGTCAAATACTAGTAGCTTACGAGGATCTTCTACTCTTAATTGCCACATTTCGCAGCCGTAAAGTAGAACGGAACAAACTGCCGCGAAGTATACTGGTCCCTTAATTAATAGACGGATATCTCGCCTTCGCCATAGGTGACGTAAGTTGGCGAAAGCCAAACGACAACTTCACTCCCTATCCTTAGTTCAGGTGTTGATGCAGGCCAGTCCTAAAGCAACAACTTGTATTTAGAGGGGGAGGAACGCATTCCAAACATTCTGGTATAGAGTTGTTCAGTGCTACCAAAAGACTGCATTTGATCAGCGTTTTAACCAAACAGGACTGTGTCATTTGAGTATTCTAAGTCGATAAGTTGACCTCCTGGTAGGAGATCAATTCCCAAAAATTCAGTCGACAAGAACGTTATTTCCATCAGTAGGTCTATGATGAAGTTAAACAAAAATGGAGAAATTGAACAGCTTTGACGGACACCACTTGAGGTTGCGAAGGCAGATGACAGTCTGCCATAAGCTCTGACTCGACTAGTAGTGTTCGAGTAAAGAGCCTTCACAAGGTTTATGTACTTCTGAGGTATGTCTTTCAATGACAGACACTGTCTGTGTTCTAGAACCTGACGAATGGTGAACATGTGGTCGATACAGCCACGACCAGGTCTGAAGCCAGCCTGATTTTCTCGTGTTTGCAGTTCACGAGTCTTAGTTAGGCGACCGACAATTATCGACGCTAGTATTTTAGATGTTATGTTAGTCATACTAATCCTTCTATGGTTGTCACAGGATGATTTTAACTCTCTCTTATATATTGGGACGATCAGTGATTGTGACCAGTCAGATAGGATAACGTCCAACCCCCAGATTTTAGCTAAAATATTAGTCAACTTAATCACCGAAACTGGACCACCGTACTTAAAGACCTCTAGAGCCAATCTATCTGGACCAGCTGCCCTTCCTCATTTCAGATTAACTATAGCCTTTTGAACTTCAGCAAGAGTTGGGGGACCTACTTCAATGTTCCATTCACACTGTCTGGGAATGGTGGGTAGTTGTAGAGTAGCTGAAGTTTAACTGAACTGCTCCTTAGATTGTTCCGCCCATCGTAGTGCTATACCTATACCCGCCAGTCCACTTTGGTTAACCTAGATGTGATTTGTTTTCGCCCTTCATCGTGTTCGGGGCCTGATGGGATGAGTTTACGAGAATCTGTCAATGCAATAGACTTAGTAGAAATCCATTGATTTTTCGTAACCCTTCGTTTTGAATCACTAATAGATGTCGTTTCTGTTTCCACAGCTGTCCGTGTATCTTTCCAAGCAACATCTGGTTCAGCCTCGTTTTCAGAACTACCTAAGTGTGACCTTAGTTGTTCCTAAAATCTACTTTTGGCTTCCTTGTCACTGAGTTTGACTCTAATGGGTATTCTTAATTTGGTTTCTCTGGGTCCAGTGATGCGCAAGCAGATGTGTGCTCGTATTAGAGCATGATCCGAGTCCAAACATGTACTCTTGAACTGGTGGCAGTCTTCTATCGAGCTTCTGCAACGATGACTGATGGCAGTATGGTCTATTTAAGTCCATCGTTGATTTGGTGTAGGGGGTCGCCATGTTAGACGATGTCTCTCTTTTTGCTTGAAATTCGTGTTTGCTAATAATAAACGATTATCTGAGCACAGTTGCAGCAGATGATCACCATTATCTGTTCCCTGAGCCGGAATATCAAAATACCCACCTAAATGTCTTTCCTTTTGGTTTGTGCTACCTATCTGGGCATTGAAGTCACCTTCTACGAGTAATATGTCTGAACGTTTAGATTGATTATGAATACAGTGATCTTGAGTTCTGTTAGAGGTATGAGGGCGGTTATCACTTCACGGTTGCTCACACTCTGTAAGGGTTCTTCTGGAGGTACCTGAAAAGGGAATTGTGTTAGAGGTGGTCATAGTGACCTGAGAGCGTGATCGCAGTGCCCAAGGGACAACTGCTTGAGGCTGGTCACACACGGTTTTTTGTGCTAGTTCGGTACTTATTGAGACATTATCACCGTGTTATATTTTTCTCTTACGGTTATGACCCAGCCATTCCTACTGCTTAGTATTCTCGGACACCGATTCACTCAACAAGTCACCAAATCAGAACACGGTTGAACAGGAAAGAGGTTATATTCCAAATAACAAGGTTAGATGGAAGTAAGAAGCACAATAGGGAAAGCGTTAGTATATTTATAGTTTTTACATGAGAAGATTCTAGAGTATTCTCTAAGTATCGACTAGTGCTGATTGGATGAGAATTAGCCAATCAGCGTGCAGCAAAGCAATCGTGCATTGAGCATGCTTTAATCCAGTCTATGTCCCGCTAACACACCGGAGACGGAAATTCGTGGGATAAGGCGAGGTGTGCATTTTTAGGGTCGACCTTCTCTAACCCCACCCCTTCTTATGAGAAGGGAGCATCGCTGTAATGCTGGTTATCTGAAGGAAACACCTTACTGCTGTCACACCTCTGTACATTCATCGACCCCGAATGCCCATGGTACGGCCCCCGAATGCCCTGGTACGGCCGAGAGTGGGGAGAGTCCGCTCTCCCTCTCGAAGTACTCTCACACGGCCACGCGTATACAGCCTCTGCCAGGGAAGTCCTACTCATTGCCTTCTCGTGGCGGGGGTGTTGTTTACGAAAATGAGAGGACGAAAAGCAAATGTCCGGCGCTTTAACCGGATTCCAAACCAATGGTGCACATGGGCTCCAGTATCCTGAAGGAACAAATGGCGTATGAACCAATCGTTGGTCACCGGCTACCATGGGATTGCATCTCCTTACGATGCTCCACTGCCTTGTGGGTTAGACCTTTAGGTCAAAGGCTCGGGGTGTGGCCCACCTGCTTCGGTTTGGGCACCCGGGCAGTATCACAGCCCACACAAAAATGATGAACTCTTTATGTCTATGGAAATTACTTTCCTCGCTTCGAAAAACAATCAATTGATTCAAATTATTATCATTACAATTATTGTCATTATTAATACTATTTTTATTACTATTATTGTCATTGTCATTATTATTATTACTATTATTATTATTATTATTATTATTATTATTATTATTTTCCACACTATTCACCTTCTTTTATATTTATACAGCGGCTCGTCTTTGGTGGAAATTCGACTGTATCTAAACGTTCTCGAGTCACTGCCTGATTGAAAATTGAATGCTTCCACCAAACACGAATGCTGAAGCAGTTTTTCTGAAACCACGCGCCCCATTCAAACTGGCTGCCTTCAACGTTCGCACACTTATGCAGGTCGGACAACAGATAGGGCTGGCTATGGCTTTGGAAAGTCTTAATATTGATGTTTGTTGTCTATCCGAGACCCGTATTCAAGACTCTGGCGAAGTACTACAAATTCGATCTCCATCTGTCGCTTCGAAAAGCTTGTTTTACGTGCGCTTATCCGGGGACCCTGTGGCATCTTCGTCTGGTCTTGCTGGCGTTGGTGTCGTACTAAGCACTAGAGCTGAGGCAGCACTAATCGATTGGATCCCCATTAACAGTCGGTTATGTGTTGTTAGATTAGAAAGTCCCATCAAAGTGAGAAGAAATCGGCGTGAGAAACGATGTCTTTTCGTCATCTCCGCCTATGCCCCAACAGATTGCAGCCCGGATGCAATCAAGGATGAGTTTTACCACCAATTATCTGTTCTTCTCCAGAAAGTGCGTTCGACAGATATTGTAGTACTAGCCGGAGACTTGAATGCTCAGGTCGGGCGTCTAGGCACAGAAGAGAGTCGTTTAGGTGGCCGATGGGGACTCGTTGGTCGCAGGTCAGATAACGGGGACCGTCTACTGCAACTGTGCACAGACCACAACCTGTTTCTGGCTAGCACTAACTTTCGGCACAGTCATCGCCAATGTGCCACCTGGCGTCCTCCCTCTGCATCTCAAGCCTGGACTCAGATTGATCACATCGCGATCAGCTACCGCTGGCGTGGTTGTGTACAAGACTGTCGCTCCTTTTGGAGTACCTATCTGGACTCTGACCATGCCTTGGTCTGCGCCAATCTTGCCTTACTTTTCAGTGGACAACGAAGTGACGGCCACCAAAGGATTGATGTCAGCAAGTTGGTTGCAACTTCTGTTGCTAGTAAGTATCGATCCGAGCTAGCTTCTAGGCTGGCTACCACTCCACCGAAAAGTATAGATGAGCATTGGTTGCAATTGCATGACGCCATGAAAATGGCGGGTACAGTCAGTTGTGAGTTCGCGAAACGTCCCGCTTTTAAGCACTGGGTTTCTTCAGGCTCCTTACAACTAATCGAGACCCGTCAGTCTACTCCGGGTGACCGTGAGTTTGACCATAAACGAAGGATGTTACGTAATGAAATTGGGCAAAGCCTGCGTAAGGACCGGGAAGCCTGGTGGTCGGAGCATGCTAATGAGCTGGAAGCAACAGCTGCATCTGCTAACTACCAGAAGCTCTTCCAAATCATCCGAGCCACTGGCAGCAAGAAATCTGGTGTGAGTGAAACAATCTGCGAGGATGATGGGATGCCAATCATTAACATCCATCGACGTCTTGGACGATGGGCAGAATTTTTCGAAGGGCAGTTCAACTGGTCTGCTGCTCCGGAAACATCGGTCAGACTGTCCTCCCCTCCATGGCCGGTGACGACTGATCCACCAAACGAGGAGGAAGTCCGCAAGGAACTCCAACTCTTAAAGCACTACAAACCACCTGGCCCAGATGACTTACCTCCGGCTCTTTTTAAAGATGGTGGTGACTTTTTGACTAAGGAATTGACGACGTTGTTTGCAAAGGTTTGGGAACTAGAGAGTGTACCAACGTCATGGAATGAGTCGATAGTTGTCCCTATCTTTAAAAAGGGTTCACGTCGTTCCTGTAACAACTATCGTAGGATAAGTCTACTTCCGATTGCGTCCAAGCTATTGGCTTCTGTCATACTTCGTAGGTTGTTCAAAACCCGAGAAAGATTGACTCGCGAGGAGCAGGCTGGGTTTCTTTCTGGTCGAGGATGTATTGATCATATCTTTACCCTCCGCCAAATGTTAGAACACCGCCATACTTATCAAAGGCCAACAATCGTAGTGTTTCTTGACATCAGGGCTGCCTTCGATTCGTTGGACAGGACTGTTCTCTGGGATTGCCTATTGAAGAAGGGTGTGCCTGAGAAGTTTATTAACATCCTAAAAGCCCTATATAAAAACACCTCAGGCAGAGTGAGGGCATACAACCACCTCTCTCTATTGTTCCATTCGAGCAGTGGGGTTAGGCAGGGTTGCCCAATCTCACCATTCCTCTTTAACTTTGCCACCGACGACATTCTGGAAACAGCTCTGATGGATGTAAGTAATGGTGGTGTGGATCTGTTGCTTGGAGAAAGACTTCTCGACCTTGAGTATGCGGACGATATTGTCTTACTGTGCGATAATGCCCAAGGCATGCAATCCGCACTTAATCAGTTGACAATCAGTGTCCGTAGGTATGGTATGTGCTTTGCACCTTCGAAGTGCAAAGTACTTCTACAAGACTGGCAGGACTCCAATCCTGTACTCACCCTGGATGGTGAGCAGATAGAAATAGTCGAGAAGTTCGTGTATCTGGGTAGCTGCATAAGTGCTGGTGGTGGCGTGAGTGATGAGATCAATGCATGTATAGTGAAAGCCAGGGTAGCTTAAGCCAATCTGGGCCATCTTTGGTGCCTTCGTGATGTCAGTCTGGCTGTAAAAGGTCGGATCTACAACGCGTCGGTGAGATCAGTTTTGCTCTATACTTGTCAAACCTGGCCTCCTCGAGTTGAGGATGTTAGACGACTCTCTGTGTTCGATCATCGTTGTCTCTGAAGGATTGTTGGCATCCAGTGGCAACACCATGTCAGTAATGCAGAGGTTCGGCATCGTGTGTTCGGGCACAGAGATGATAATTCAATTGGTGTCACCATCTTGAAACACCGACTTCGGTGGCTTGGACATGTTCTCCGAATGTCGTCCCAGAAATTCCACGTCGTGCATTATTTGCCGACTCTGGGACTAGTTGGATGAAGCGGAGAGGTGGTCAGTGCATGACATGGTGTCATGGTATGAAAGAAAGCTGCAAAGGACTGGCTTCTGTCGGTCCTTTACGACTCCCTGGTTGGGGTCCGAGAGATGGTGCTACACAGTGGCTAGAGACGTTATCAGATATAGCTCAGAATAGAAGCCAGTGGCGATCCTGCTGTAACCTTTTACTTTCTTCATAAAAAGTGTTTGTGTCTTCCTTACCTGAAAGATTTCTTCTGATTGTACCTTTCCGTTCAGTCATTTCTACCGTACTACCTTACACCAATCTCTTCGTTATTGTTCTCTTTTTTTGCGCTCCTTAGCTTTTTTTTCTATTTCTCTTCGAATTCTCATTGTTTTGTGTGGCGCATATATATTGGCGTTCTCTTGTACCAGTATTCATGTGTTCAAATAAATAAATAAATAAATAAATAAATAAATAAATAAATAAATAAATAAATAAAACGACTTCGCCTTCGGACTTTGGGTTTGCTACTTTTGTTCTTACCGTTCTTCAACCGACCTACCTGGCATAGTAGAACTTTGAGAAACGATTGTTCCAGCAAGTATAGCTCGGTTGCTTCATCACGATGGGCAAGCCCGAACACCACGTTAAGGTAGCAACAACAATCGGGGTCCGTGCAGTCACTGACAACTGGACTTAGCCATATTTGTAGGTGTAGACTACCTGGTTGGGGTCCGTGTGGTTATCATAATCAATGTTTAGAGACTTTAAATGACATGGCTCAAAATCGTTTGCAATAAGTGCAGATGCATTAATTTTCTGTTGTCCCCCAGGTCCTGAGATTTTAAATTCCTCGCAAATTTTCTTTGTTTTTATTTCACTGATTTATGTTTTCTTGTCGAGTCGTATCTTCGATCTTCTTTTCTATTACCACTGCTATTGCTACTACCTCTAATATTCTGGAATTCGACCACATATCTCTGTCCTGATGGAATATGGCAACTTGGACCGATGTATATACGTACAAGTCCTACGTTGTGACTGAGTGGTTTAAGTAGCCAGATATAACAATGGGCATTTTACTGAATTTTAAATTAACAATATATAGTTTCTATAATCTTAAATGCGGCTGATCCAACTTTTGTTTTGTGGTAACTGGTTGAAAATACTAATTTTATGTTTCGGTAGTTATTTTATATTATTAATTGGATTCAGGTAATATCATTTCCAGTCTTGTTTTATTTAGGGTGTATCGGACTCTGACTCCTCTGTTCGTCCCTCAGCCTTACAATGTGATAGACTTTTAAAGGAAATTATCATGGAGACTGAAGTTTGTGACTTAACAGATATTGTCTTATTACTGAAAGAACGTATTTACACGAACAATCCGTATACTCGTCAGTTTATTGTTTCTTGGGTAAGTCATATGGCGTATTGGTTATCTTCAAAAGCAATTTTCTTCCTTACTTACTAAGTTCACTAGGTATGGGCAGTCCTTAAGCCATCAGCTTTTTGGGTTTATCATGGCTGTTCTTGTATTTGAATTATTACCCACTAGATTACAGTGATAGAAGAACAATATGAAATATAGCAAAATCTTACATCCATATAAAGTGTCATGTCATTCAGCAGATATGATTTCAGGAGAAAAAACAGGTATAGGAGCGGAATTAAAAAATCTTCCCAAAACCTTATTTAAGGAGTGAAGGAATTCACACCGATAGTTTGATGTGTATTATATCGCCCATGTTCCAAGACACTTATTATGTTCACTAATTCTACGTTTTCTGGTTCCAATAACCTCATGAGCTGTACTGGTGGACAGGTCTGATAGCACGGTGTCTCCGAACGTACTCATATTTTAGCTTACATAAGTAGTCCATTCCTATTTACGAATTTTTCATATCCTTACCTAAGCATAGTATTAAAAAGCGAAATTCGAACTGGAATTACGAATAAACTTTTAGCCCTTTCGAAGCTACACTAAACTATCACTTAAGGGTAATGAACTTCAGTAATACTTCCATGCAAGTTTCCGTTATTATAAAGTGGGCCAGTATCCAATATTGTATTTATAGCACATCGATTGACAGATCTTCAGCTGGTCAAAAAAGATGTTAGAAGTGTAGTTTGGTAACTTTTGTATAATTTAAGGAACTGATCGTTTTGATACATTTTCACGTTTAAGCATTGGTAGTCAATTAGCACATAGTATAAGTTAACACATACAACATCGTCTTTTTTGGGTGCTTCGGCCATAATTTCCAAATTTTCATCAGATTTTTTTTTGGTTTTTCAAGTGCAGTGATAACAAAAAGCTAAATAATTACAGATAAGATATAAACGAAATTGAGAAAAGTAAAATCTAATGTCTCTGTAAATCACCAAAACGTTTCAAACTGCCCAGTGGATCATTTATTTTTGTAATAATAGTTGTTTGAAGGGCGAACAAGGACTCTCAACCTCTTTTGCTCACGAATAATAACTTTGCCGATATTATTTCGTGTCCGATTGCTGAAAAGCAACATATAGAATGCTAAGTAGTCCTTTGTATACTTGAATTAGCAAACATCTTTGGAAGATGATCAAACTGCGATATACTTTCCCACTGAGATATTGATGACATGTGAACGCCCCTTGATTTTTACTAAATTATGACTGTCTCTTCACTTTATCCATAAATTAGTTTGTCATCATCACTAGATAGGATGAATTTTTGCTCATTGTAGAGATATTTCGGAAATTCTTAACTTCAGTTTTATAACGTGATAGTGTAGTACAAATCATTTCTGAGCATATCATTGCTTAGTTATTATTTCATATGGGTTATGATAACAGTTGTATTTACTTTAAGTGTATCGAATCCATTAGCATCTTGAATCTGCCAGCTAATTTTACGAATATAGTTTTCAATAATTTCTCATCAGGTTCTACAATTATAAATCCAGATTAATAATCCGTAAAATTGGCCAGATTTAAGGCAAAATACATCATTTGGAAATTGTTAATTTATATAACAAACAATTCCTGATTCACATATTACAATTTCCAAATGATGTATTTTGCCTTAAATCTGGCCAATTTTATGGATTATTAATCTGGATTTATAATTGTAGAACCTGATGAGAAATTATTGAAAAGAATATTCTTCGTTCATACAATTGTGTTTTTAATATAATGGGAATTTTTCAGCGAATATAGTTTTTTTTAAATTCTACGCATATTTCACCTTGTTGACCAGTTTAAACCCTTAATACTTATGATACTGCGGGTTAAAATACAGGTTTACTTTTCGTTAGTAAAGTTTTATGTCAAGCAAAAGCCAGTACACGATTGAGTGAATAATTTCTGTTTTTATACTTTAATACATGTTAGGTGTTAAGAGACTGGTTTATTAAAACTGAAAGAACCCCAGTAATATTAACGTGATTTATTGATAACCTTTCTATTAATCAGATCACTACCTTATATGCTATACCTGGACTAAAAATTTCTGTTTACTTGCCGCAATTATTGGATGGGCTTTTCCGTATACTTGGCGATCCGAATCCGGATTTACGAAGACAGTAAGAATGATTGTTGTTTTATGTTTTAAACAAGTGCTTTTATTTTTACCTGTTTTAAAGTGGGATTTCGAAAATTCTTAATTTGAACTGTACTGAAAAAATAGACATTCTAAGCAAATATGATCCAAGTGAGTTACAAATACTATCAGATCTTCAGTGCTAACCGAGTTTGCAATGTAACTACCAAGCCAAGTGATTAGAGCTTTGTGTGTCGTATAGTATTCAACGTTGGATGATCAGTAACAGGACGTATAGCTCTAGACATAGATCTTAACCTTGCCTACTATAAAAGTATAGTTTGAACAAGAATGAGAGATAATTTTCCGTGGAATCAGACCTACCTCATTCAGATTTGCGATGTTTTCGATTACAACTTGTAGGTAAGTGAATCCAATCCAGTTCTCAAAAGGTCGGTTTATTGGCAGTTTATATCCCATTTTTTGCGAAGTGTGGGTTTCTTTGAGTTTAGAGATACTTTTCGCGAATAAGTTCCCACAGACATATGATCTTTTTTTAAACTACTCGAATTATGCGCTTAGTTGTATTTCAGTAAGGCCGAACCTCTGTATTTCTAACATGGTGTTGCCACTGGATGCCAACAATCCTTCAGAGACAACGATGATCGAACACAGAGAGTCGTCTAACATCCTCAACTCGAGGAGGCCAGGTTTGACAAGTATAGAGCAAAACTGATCTCACCGACGCGTTGTAGATCCGACCTTTTACAGCCAGACTGACATCACGAAGGCGCCAAAGATGGCCCAGATTGGCTTAAGCTACCCTGGCTTTCACTATACATGCATTGATCTCATCACTCACGCCACCACCAGCACTTATGCAGCTACCCAGATACACGAACTTCTCGACTATTTCTATCTGCTCACCATCCAGGGTGAGTACAGGATTGGAGTCCTGCCAGTCTTGTAGAAGTACTTTGCACTTCGAAGGTGCAAAGCACATACCATACCTACGGACACTGATTGTCAACTGATTAAGTGCGGATTGCATGCCTTGGGCATTATCGCACAGTAAGACAATATCGTCCGCATACTCAAGGTCGAGAAGTCTTTCTCCAAGCAACAGATCCACACCACCATTACTTACATCCATCAGAGCTGTTTCCAGAATGTCGTCGGTGGCAAAGTTAAAGAGGAATGGTGAGATTGGGCAACCCTGCCTAACCCCACTGCTCGAATGGAACAATAGAGAGAGGTGGTTGTATGCCCTCACTCTGCCTGAGGTGTTTTTATATAGGGCTTTTAGGATGTTAATAAACTTCTCAGGCACACCCTTCTTCAATAGGCAATCCCAGAGAACAGTCCTGTCCAACGAATCGAAGGCAGCCCTGATGTCAAGAAACACTACGATTGTTGGCCTTTGATAAGTATGGCGGTGTTCTAACATTTGGCGGAGGGTAAAGATATGATCAATACATCCTCGACCAGAAAGAAACCCAGCCTGCTCCTCGCGAGTCAATCTTTCTCGGGTTTTGAACAACCTACGAAGTATGACAGAAGCCAATAGCTTGGACGCAATCGGAAGTAGACTTATCCTACGATAGTTGTTACAGGAACGACGTGAACCCTTTTTAAAGATAGGGACAACTATCGACTCATTCCATGACGTTGGTACACTCTCTAGTTCCCAAACCTTTGCAAACAACGTCGTCAATTCCTTAGTCAAAAAGTCACCACCATCTTTAAAAAGAGCCGGAGGTAAGTCATCTGGGCCAGGTGGTTTGTAGTGCTTTAAGAGTTGGAGTTCCTTGCGGACTTCCTCCTCGTTTGGTGGATCAGTCGTCACCGGCCATGGAGGGGAGGACAGTCTGACCGATGTTTCCGGAGCAGCAGACCAGTTGAACTGCCCTTCGAAAAATTCTGCCCATCGTCCAAGACGTCGATGGATGTTAATGATTGGCATCCCATCATCCTCGCAGATTGTTTCACTCACACCAGATTTCTTGCTGCCAGTGGCTCGGATGATTTGGAAGAGCTTCTGGTAGTTAGCAGATGCAGCTGTTGCTTCCAGCTCATTAGCATGCTCCGACCACCAGGCTTCCCGGTCCTTACGCAGGCTTTGCCCAATTTCATTACGTAACATCCTTCGTTTATGGTCAAACTCACGGTCACCCGGAGTAGACTGACGGGTCTCGATTAGTTGTAAGGAGCCTGAAGAAACCCAGTGCTTAAAAGCGGGACGTTTCGCGAACTCACAACTGACTGTACCCGCCATTTTCATGGCGTCATGCAATTGCAACCAATGCTCATCTATACTTTTCGGTGGAGTGGTAGCCAGCCTAGAAGCTAGCTCGGATCGATACTTACTAGCAACAGAAGTTGCAACCAACTTGCTGACATCAATCCTTTGGTGGCCGTCACTTCGTTGTCCACTGAAAAGTAAGGCAAGATTGGCGCAGACCAAGGCATGGTCAGAGTCCAGATAGGTACTCCAAAAGGAGCGACAGTCTTGTACACAACCACGCCAGCGGTAGCTGATCGCGATGTGATCAATCTGAGTCCAGGCTTGAGATGCAGAGGGAGGACGCCAGGTGGCACATTGGCGATGACTGTGCCGAAAGTTAGTGCTAGCCAGAAACAGGTTGTGGTCTGTGCACAGTTGCAGTAGACGGTCCCCGTTATCTGACCTGCGACCAACGAGTCCCCATCGGCCACCTAAACGACTCTCTTCTGTGCCTAGACGCCCGACCTGAGCATTCAAGTCTCCGGCTAGTACTACAATATCTGTCGAACGCACTTTCTGGAGAAGAACAGATAACTGGTGGTAAAACTCATCCTTGATTATATCCGGGCTGCAATCTGTTGGAGCATAGGCGGAGATGACGAAGAGACATCGTTTCTCACGCCGATTTCTTCTCACTTTGATGGGACTTTCTAATCTAACAGCACATAACCGACTGTTAATGGGGATCCAATCGACTAGTGCTGCCTCAGCTCTAGCGCTTAGTGCGACACCAACGCCAGCAAGACCAGACGAAGATGCCACAGGGTCCCCGGATAAGCGCACGTAAAACAAGCTTTTCGAAGCGACAGATGGAGATCGAATTTGTAGTACTTCGCCAGAGTCTTGAATACGGGTCTCGGATAGACAACAAACATCAATATTAAGACTTTCCAAAGCCATAGCCAGCCCTATCTGTTGTCCGACCTGCATAAGTGTGCGAACGTTGAAGGCAGCCAGTTTGAATGGGGCGCGTGGTTTCAGAAAAACTGCTTCAGCATTCGTGTTTGGTGGAAGCATTCAATTTTCAATCAGGCAGTGACTCGAGAACGTTTAGATACAGTCGAATTTCCACCATAGGCGAGCTGCTGTATAAGTTGAAAAATAAGGATACGCAGAGTGGAAATAAAAAAGAGTGAATAAGTAACGTGGTTGAAAAAAAAAGTGAATGTTATTAATTGTGTATGTGTTGTTTGAGCAGTATATCAAATAATCATTGTCATTTCATTTTAATTGCGTGCGGGCTATGATACTGTCCGGTTGCCCAGACCGAAGCAGGTGGTTTTCTTAGGGTCCACACCCCGAGCCTTCGACCTAAAGGTCCGGTCCGCAAGGCAGTGGAGCAACGTGAGGAGATGCAGTCCCACGGTAGCCGGTGACCAACGATTGGTTCATACGCCATTTGTTCCTTCAGGATACTGGAGCCCATGTGCACCATTGGTTTTGGATCAGGGTTCTCCAACTTCCCTAGGTAAACCCTCCGTGTCCACCAATCCGATCAAAGCGCCGGAGTTCCGCTTTTCGTCCTCTCAATTTTGTAGACAACACCCCCACCACGAGAAGGCAGTGAATAGAACTTCCCTGGCAGATGCTATATACGCGTGGCCATGTGAGGGCATTTCGAGAGGGAGAGCGGACTTTCCCCACTCTCGGCTGTACTAGGGCATTTGGGGGCAAAAGTACTCTAAGTATGACTTGTGTTTGTATTAATCAACAAAATATCCTATTACTGTTGAATACAAAATAGCTTTTTCTTATTCACAATCATCAGATCAGTTATCGCTGTTACAAACACAGTGTTTTCTAAAGTGTATTTATAAATACGTTATTAAAGTGTGTTTAGTTTAGGGTAGAGGGTATTTTCGATTGATAGATTGTGAATTTCTTCCGTTTAGATGCAAAGTGAATCTGTACTAGTTGAATCACCATTGAATATTTGAGCGTAGAACCTAACTTGAAAAATGTGAACAAAATAATGCTCATTCTATGTAATATAATGCTAAATAATCCTTCCATGTTATCGAGTATAATGCCTGTCTAACTACATAGTTCGACGAAGCTGTAGATATTCTGTTGGCAAAATTATTTCATGTAGTAACTTGTATTATTCTGTACTTTTTTATTTCTATTTAACTTCAACCATGCTCGTATAGTGTTTGACCCTAAGATGTATTTTAATAGTCTTTTTTTCATATTTTGTCTTTTGTACCAATTCATTTACATTTAAGCTGGGTTTTAGTACTTGAATAATTCCCAAGTTGTTTTCACTACTAGTCGATATTATTTGCACCAATTGATCAGTAGATGGTGGCCAGTTTCATGTTGTTTAGTCCTTAGAGAATAGAAAATTCTAGCTGTTGGTTTGCAGTTTGGTCACTAATCAGATTGACTCGAAATTGAGGTAAATATTGCTTAATATTCGATGAAATTGGTTAGTGTAAACTTTTTAGTCCTGCAAGAGGTCTATCCTGGTCCGAATAACCTAGTGGTAACTTTTGTGACTGTGACACATGGTTCAGGTTCTACATGTTATAACGGAACAAATATTGCAGACGTTGGGACTAGTTTTTCAAACTTATTAATTATAATTTTGTCGTATAGTTACTGATTAATTCAATTACTACGTATGCATATTCCACTTATCATAAGCTTTTGGTTTATACGTTAACTACTGTTGTACGGTTTACTTTTTTTCAAGACTTTTTTCTAGTCCATTACCCACAGTCTATTCACAGTCACTTTTGGCTTGTTCATGTATATTTGTTATTTTTAACTTCATGGTATGATTCGGTGCGGTATGTCTGTATATAAACCGCCTCTGTTTAAAATATAAATATCGTAGAGGTTGGGTGCTGACGTTTGGACGCAAAGGTGGGGATATAACGAGAAGCTTACGAATAGTAGATCAATGTAGACTTAGCTTAATGTCACTAGTGCTGGTTGAATGTGTAATTGGCCAAGTCAGAGATTAAGCTATCGAGTAAATAATAGACTAAATTAGGATCATTATTCTGGTTGGTGACTTGGCACATGACATTCGTCAGTGATCACACGAAATAAATCCTACGAAGATTCCAGATATCTCTTGCTGAAGAGTCCCAAGTAGTGCAAAACCCAGGTCCAGTAGTTTCTGCCGACTGCCTCTAACCAAATAACATAACGGTACTTAAAAAGATAAAGTTTCCTGATGTCTCAGTATACTTTAATCATTTTTCTGGAATCCTTTGGCTGATATTTCGAGGCTTTAGGTGGATTATACCATTATTTTGTGTGTCATTCAGTATCGTTGGGGGGGTTTATGTGCTCTCACACACTGATTAAACTCTAAAGTTTACTAAAACTAGGCATTTAGTAACTCTTAATTCCTCACTACATACTTTAAAGTATTCGATGGATTTTATGTGGCTTGATGGGTTTAAATGATAATTTTATGTGCTATTATGTTTAAATTCCTCACTTTTACTTCTGATTTTGTTTTGCTTTAGATGTGAAATGCTTTTAACAGATTTACTTAAAGAGATTGAAGCTAATCCAAATGAAATTGCATTAGATACAATGATCAACAGTTTAATTGTGCACTGTCGACTTTCAGCAACAGGTTAGCTGTTTGTTTAATGTTTCAATGTGTAACTCAATGAGATTTCTTATATTAATAGATACTGGCTTTTTATCACGTATTACCATTTTTGAACACAACTGGTTAAATAGAGTTGTTAGTTCTCACCATCTACCTAGTAATTTAAGAAATTGTACTAACCAGTTTCATCCTGTTAGTTTGGACGTGGTTCTCATATAGTAGTGGAACACACACTTATCAGATTAATTCATTCGTTTGATGCAAAGTCAAATAGGTTTGTTGATCCTTATTTGACCCAATAATAACTATATCAGATAAACCTGACCATCTCAGGTAATGAATAAATATCAGTTCAGTGAAGCTTTTTTATAGATACTCTTCAAAGTTTGTTTTATAAAATCTATATTCAAATCAAACATATACTTTGGCTGATTTACTCAAGTTACTTTTCATCAGTTGTTTGGACTATATGAACCTGGTTGTATTGCAAGTATTTATGTCTACGGTTTCACTGGGAGTCTGTATTCTAAGTTTATTTTTGAAGAAGTTCAGGTAAGCAGATTTTATCAAAAAACCTATGATAATTATTTTGTCATCCAACTTGATACACGATCGGACATTTTACATTTCTTTAATATTTTTTTTAAAATTGTTGATCTAAACCACACTACTGTTCATTAAAGTTTACCAGAGCGTTATGGACTGAGATATCCATGCATGTTATCACTCACCGTCAGGACTTAGTTTTTATTATTCTGATGAAAATCATGCTTATCATAACATTCGATTCAACCCCAATTCAGTATTGCATTTAAGCATATTATTGATAAAATATTTGGGTTCTTATAACTGTTGAACCCGTTTATCTGCATCGTTTTGGTCACCCGATAGTGATTGATATCGATATTATGCTTATCGCTAGTAATTAGATTTTATCTTTGAAAGAGTGACTACTGAAACAAGTGGTACGAGAGTAAAATGTGTTAGATATGCTATCATATGTGCAGATGTAATTTTCAGTACTTGTAGAATCATTTTTTGTTAACAGTTAACAGAGTGTGTCTTGTCATTTAAATAAGTTATATTGATCAATAGGATTCGATTGATTTTGAGAACTAGGTAATCATCTTGATTTTATTTTGATCGTATATCCTTGTTTTGTTATGCTTTTGACCTTTTTAATTACATAACTGCAACTAAATGAAATACTTCCTGGCTTGTTTGTATTTATCATCAAGAAATCCCTTAATTTTCCGTCCACTGGCCCTCAAGATGCCCTGGTACGGTCGAGTCAGTCAGCAACAACTTGGATTTTGTACGTAGGTACATCAGTTCGAGTTGCCATACCACATTAGCACAGGGATGCAGTTGTCGATTCAAATCCCATAGTGGTAGAGGTAGTAAAAGTATAAGCAGTAATTGGAAAGATTAGGGTTTGAAGATGTTATTCAAGGAGTATAGTTTAGTGAAATAAATTTGGAAAGAGAAAAAGAAGAAGGACATAAAGAATACAGAAGATTAGAATTTGGGAGAACACAGAGAGTGGATGCACCTGCGCCATTGCAAACGATTTTGAGCCATGTCATTCAGGGTCTCTAATCATCGGTTGCTATCATCTCGCGGTCCCCAACCAGGTAGTCTACACCTACCAACATGGCTCAGTCTACTTGTCAATGGCTTCATGGACTTGTGCCATGTTTTGGTCTGGCCACCCCTAGCTTTCTTCCAATCTACTCCTATACAACAAAACATCGCACATCGAGGCAGTCGGTGGTTGGGCATACGTAACACATGTCCCAGCCATCTCGACTGATGAAGTTTCACCACTTCATCAATTGATTTACCATCCTTACCTAGTACCCGTTTCCTAACAGCTGCGTTACTTACTCGATGGTCCCATGATATACGAGCAATGTTTCGAAGACACCTATGGTCGAATACTAGTAACCTACGAATATCCTCTACTCTTACCGGCCATGTTTCACAGCCATAAAGTAGGACGGAACGAACTGCTGCGCAGTAAACACGTCGTTTGGTTGATAGACGGATATCTCGCCTACGCCATAAATGACGCAAGTTGGTAAAAGCTAGTCGAGCCTTCTGTATCCGTGCTGAGATTTCGTCACACACCAGACCACAAGGGCTGATGAGACTTCCAATATAAGTGAAGCGATCGACACACTCAATTACTTCATTCCCTATCATTAGTTCGGGTGTCGGTGTAACCCAGTCCTGAAGCAACATTTTGCATTTCGAGGGGGAGAATCCCATCCCGAACATGCTTGCATTGTTGCTTAGAGTGGTCAGAAGACTCTGCATTTTGTCAAGAGTGGGGACAGTCCTCTTTCCCTATCGAAATGCTCTCAATATGGCCGCGTGTATACAGCCACTGACAGGGTCAGTCAGTCAGTCAGTCACAACGTAGGACTTGTACGTATATACATCGGTCCAAGTTGCCATATTCCATCAGGACAGAGATATGTGATCGAATTCCAGAATATTAGAGGTAGTAGCAATAGCAGTGGTAATAGAAAAGAAGATCGAAGATACGACTCGACAAGAAAACATAAATCAGTGAAATAAAAACAAAGAAAATTTGCGAGGAATTTAAAATCTCAGGACCTGGGGGACAACAGAAAATTAATGCATCTGCACTTATTGCAAACGATTTTGAGCCATGTCATTTAAAGTCTCTAAACATTGATTATGATAACCACACGGACCCCAACCAGGTAGTCTACACCTACAAATATGGCTAAGTCCAGTTGTCAGTGACTTCACGGACTGATGCCATGTTTTAATTTGACTGCTACTAGTTTTTTTCAGCCTGCTCCTGCACTAGAAAACATCGCTTGTTGAGATAGGCGCTGGTTAGGCACACGTGATACATGTCCCAACCACATCAGCTAGTGAAGATTCACTACCTCATAAACCGATTTACAATGTTTGCCTAGTACTCGATTCCTAACCCTGGTGTTGCCCACTCCGTGGTCCCAAATACGCGATCGATGCTTTGAAAACGTCTGTGATAGAATACCAGTAACCTAAGAATATCTTCTACTCTTAATGACCAAGTTTTACATCCATAAAGTTGAACCGAGCGAACTACTGCACAGTAAACCCGCTTTTCGGTTAAAAGGCAGGTATCTCGCCTACTCCACAAATGACGTAAATTGGCAAAAGCCAATCGAGTGTTCTGGATCCGTATCAAGATTTCTTCAGACACCAGACCATCAGTACTGATGAAACTCTTAAGATAAATGAAGCGGTCGTTGCGTTCAACTATTTCACTCCCTTCCACTAATTTATGCACTGACACAAGCCAATTCTGAAGTAACACTTTACATTTGGAGGCAGAAATCCTCATCCCAAACATGCTCGCATTGTTACTTAAAGTGGTCAGAAAACTGCATTTTGTCAGAGTCTTCACAAAACACAACTATGTCGTCTGTGTATTCTAAGTCAACAAGTTAATCTCCTGGTAGAAGATTAATCTCTGAAAAGTCAGACAATGAATGTGTTATCTTTAAAACATGTCTATGGCTAAGTTAAAGAAGAAAAAAGAAAGTGGGCAACCCTGATGAACGAATCCCGACGACAATTAGTTATAAGCTCTGACTCTACCAGAAGTATTCGAGTAGAGAGCCTGTACAAGGTTACTGTACTTCTTCGATACGCCTTTCAATGACAGGCACTGGTGCAGAACCTAATGATCAACAAGGTCGAACTCTGCCTTAATGTCAAGGAATACAACTGTAGTACGACGTCGAAAGGTATGTCTATGTTCTAGAATCTGCTGAAGGGTAAATGTTTGGTCTATACATTCATGTACAGATGTGGACCAGTCTGGTTTTCTCAGATTCGCTTTTCAACAGCTATAATTAGACATCGAAGTATTGTTGAGGCTAATATTTTAGACATAGTATTAGTTAAATTGATTCCTCTGTGATTGTCACAAGAGGATTTTTGTCCTTTCTTGTAGTCTGAGACGACCAGCGATCAAAACATTTCAGATGAGATCACGTTCATTTTCCAGATTTTAGCTAAGATTTCAATTAATCTTACTGCTAAAACTGGACCACCATCCTTAAAAATCTCATGGGTTAATCCATCAGGCCCTGCTGTACTCCCTCGCTTTAGATTACTGATAGCCTTTTCAACCTCACTAAGATTCGGAGGTAAATAATGGGTGACTGAAGTGTGGCTTAAGGCCAGTTGAACTGTCTCCTAAAGTGTTCTGCCCATTGGTCCAATCTCCTGAATTGAGAGTGAATAGTGGTCCCGTCTTTTACCGAAACAGTTCATTACCCGTTTCCTTGATAAGTCTAAACAGTTATCTACTATTACCTATTGCTGCTGCCTTTTCCATCTCTTCTGCTTTCTCTACCCACTACTGCTCGCGATCATTATGTAGGCCTTTTATCAGCCTATGTTTAAGCTGCCTCCGCTCCTCATCGTGTTCGGAGTCAGATGTGATGAATGTCCGAACATCTACCAGTTCTGTAGACGCAGCTGAAATCCACTAATTTTTCTTAACTTTTTGCTTCAAGTTACTAGTAGATATCACAGCTGTTTTCACAGCTTTTTGGATATCATGCCACGCTACTTTGAAGTAAATATCACTTCATGGTTGACGAACTCCTTTTTCAGTCGTTCCTGAAATATATTTTTAACTTTAAGGGGTTTTCTTGCTGTAATTTTTCTACGTTCAGTGAGACACAGACAAGTGCGTGCTCGAACTAGAGGATGTTCTAAGTCTAAACATGTGCTCCAGAATGAGAGACAGTCTTTAATGGAGCCATTGGAACTATGGCTAATGCCAATGTGATCTATTTGAGTCCATCGATGAGTCGATTGTGGGAGTCACTACATCATACAATGTTTCTTTTTTTCTTAAGGTTGGTGTTTACCAGAAATAGAAGATTATCTGAGCATAGTTGCAACAGACGATCGCCGTTGTCTGTTCACTGAGCCTCAACAGTGTAAGATCCACCTAAGTGCCTTTCAGTTTCGTTTAGTCTACTTTAGCATCAAAATCGTTTGTCACTATTACTAAATCAGAGCGTTTAACCTTTCGAGGAAGTTTGGATAGCTTCGTATAAAATTCATCTTTAACTTTATCCGAGCTACAATCAGTGGAAACATAGGTAGAGACAACGAAAAGGCGATGGATTGTATCCTTATCTTTTCGAGTTCTCACTGTCCCGTTTAGTTGAACAGTGCACAGGAGACTGTCGATTGGAATTCAGTCTGATAACCTGTTCTGCTTTTGAACTTAATGCTATACCTACATCAGTGAGGCCACAGCAATTAGCACTGGGATCTCCAGATACTCAAAGGGTAAATTGTGCCGGTTCTTTATATTGACAATGTGAGGTCAAATGAATGACTGTACTTAGATCCTGTAATCGCATTTCGGAGGCACAGCATACATCGACGGCGCGAGATTCTAGAGTCCTAGCCTAAGGAGCCTGTTTTCTTATTGGACACAAGCTTCGAACATTCAAAGCTCCAGCATGTAGTTTGGTGTTGTTTCAGGAGAAGAGGAATAAAATTTTGTGGAGTCAAATCATTAGCATTGGTGGCCCGTGGTGATAAACACATATGAGAATGGTTAGTCGTAGGGATGGAAGAATTACTGATAGGTAAGGAAGGAATTCGATCGTCAACAAGATGATCTCTGGTGGTGATAGAAGTATGAGGGCGGTTATCGCTTCCCGATTACCCACCCCGTGGAAGGATATTTGTTCTTAAAGGGCCTGAAAATGAAACTTAATTAGTGGTGGTCTTAGCGACCTCGGGGCGTAACCGCAGAGCTAAAGAGACAGTTATTTGAGGCCGGTCGCCTACGACCTTTTTGTTATTGATGCGTTAGTTCCTCACTTCACAAGGTCATACCAGCCCCAGAAACGGAAATCCATGTGGTAAGGTGAGGTGTGACATTTCAGGGTAGACTATTCTTAACACCTTTCTTCCGTTGTGAGAAGACAGCATCGTTGCAGTGCTGGTTGCCCAAGGGAAGCACATTACTGCTGTCACACCCTCGTCGCCCTCGGGCCTCAAGTTACTGCTTTTAGTCTTACCGTTCTTCAACCGATCCGCCTGGCATGGTAGAACCTAAAAGAACGTGTGTCCTAGCCAATATAGCTCAGTTGAGTCATCACAATAGGCCGACCCGGTCACTACGTCAAGATAACAGCTACGGTAGGCGATTGCCAAAGAAGTCCTAATCACTACCTTCTTGCGGCGGGTGTGTTGTTTACGAAATTGAGACGGCGAAAAATGAATGTCCTTTCCTAACCGGGTTGATTGGTACGCGGAGGTTGCACCTAGGAGAACAAGAAAACCCTGATTCCAAACTAATAGTGAACATGAACTCCTGGATCCTGGGGGAGCAAATGACGTATAAACCTGTCGTTGGTCGCCGGCTACCATGTGATTGCATCTACTAACGTTGCTTTACTACCTTGTGAACTAGACTTTTAGATCAAAGGGTCGGGAAGTGGTCGCCTGAGAAAACCACCTTCTTCGGTGTGAACACCCGGAGTTCATCCCAGCGCACAAAAACTAAATGATGACTGTAACTAGAAAGGTTAATCACTCCTTAATTCCCATTTTCGTGAATCATACTTGAAACTATATATTAATATTTGTTTTTATCATATATTAGGTCACTTGCCTATTCCTTTATTCTTATTTAGTATATTCTTTTATTCTTCAACTTCTACAGCAGCTCGTCTATGGTGGGATTGTCTATTGAAGAAGGGTGTGTCTGAGAAGTTTATTGACATCTTAAAGGCCCTATATACAAACACCTCAGACAGAGTGAGGGCATACAACCACCTCTCTCCATTGTTCCATTCGAGCAGTGGGGTTAGGCAGGGTTGCCCAATCTCACCATTCCTCCTCAACTTTGCCACCGACGACATTCTGGAAACAGCTCTGATGGATGTAATTAATGGTGGTGTGGATCTGTTGCCTGGAAAAAGACTTCTCGCCCGTGAATATGCGGATGATATTGTCTTACTGTGCGACTATACCCTACTCGTCCAATCCGCCCTTAGTCAGTTGACAATCAGTGTCCGTAGGTATGGTATGTGCTTTGCACCTTCGAAGTGCAAAGTACTTTAACAAGACTGGGAGGACCCTGAACCTGCACTCTGGGTGTATTGATCGAGAACACAGCTGGGGATAACCATTTCATTTATACATAATTACAGAGTTCTTGGATAAAATGTGAAAATCATACGTTCAATACTTAATTTGCAAATTCCCTATCAATTGTCTCAATCTTCTTCATTCCTTCACTGTTATTAAAATTGTTCTCTGTTCCTGTTCTCTTCGATTCGATCTTATCAACCTTCTGCTGCCCAGGCATTCCACTTCTGATTGCTTTACATACTACTTATGTCGACATAAGTAGCATACACCACAACAGTGTGAAAAACTTTCAGGCATCAGTCATCATCCATCATCAGTATTACAGGCAATAAGAAAAGATTGCATTAATTAGGGTTTACATGGAATACACCACATAGGTAGTGAGCAGTTAGTAGTTGAGGGGATCGTGCATCTGGGTAGCTATGTAAGTGCTGGTGGTGGCATGAATGGTGAGATCAATTCACGTATAGTGAAAGGCAGAGTGGCTTATGTTAATCTGGCCCATCTTCGGCGCCTTCGTGATGTTAGTTTGGCTGTAAAAGGCTGCATCTACATTGCGTCCGTGGGACCAGATTCGCTCCATGTTTGTGAAACCTGACCTCTCCGAGTTTATGATGTCAGGCGACTATGTGTTTAATCACCGTTGTCTCTGAAGAATTGCTGACTTCCAATGGCAACACTATTTTAGTATTGCGGAAATTCGGCATCGTGTGTTCGGGCGCAGCGATGATAATTTAATTGGTATCAGTATCTTGAAATATGGACTTCGGTGGCTTGAACATGTCCGACAAATGTTATCCCAGCGAATTCCACATCGTGTATCATTTTCTGACACGGACTGGTTGGAAAAAGCGGAGAGGTGGTCAGTGTATGACATGGTGTCGTGATGTGAAAAAGAGCTGTGCAGGACTGGGTTCTGTTGGTCTTTCACTACAGTGGCTTGAGACATGGCTCAGAATAGAAGCCAGTGACGATCTTTCTGTAACTTTCTTTTGCTTTCTTCCTATAAGTGAGAGTAATTTCTCTAACTGAAAGAATTCTTTCTGGTTGTACTTTTGTTAACTGAACTGCCTCTCCCGTTATTATTACTTCACTCTCATACACTAATTCCCATTCGTCTTTGTTCTTTTTCATTATATCTTCCTTTCTCTATCTCTTCACATCCTTGTTTTTATTGTGTGGCGCATATATCTTTTAATGCCCCATTGAGCCGATGTTTATATGTTGTAATAAATAAATAAACCGTAGTACGAAGTTTGTCATGGCATAGATTTTTTAGTTGTCATTAAGTACGAAACATTGCGGTATATTTATGCTTATATTGATTATTGTATTTCTGTACTCCTCATATTCTGTGTATTGTTTTTCTTATATATACAGTACCATGGATTTTTTCGTGTTACTTTCACTAGCTTGTGCTTTGGCCGATATTGCTTTGAAGCCATCATCTCCACGTAACTCTCAGTTTTCTAATCTCCTCAATTCATCAATCGTTGTTGATACGTCGGCTCAAAGTATTAGTCACGCACAAACTGCTCAAAACGCTTCTGATTCGTGGTCCTTAAAAAGCGGAAATATATGTAACGCACCAGAACAATTAAAACAACGAGCGGCACTAAAGTGGATAAAAACATTTGTTGAAATAGATCCGCATCATATGCTTCCATATGCTTCAGGAATTATTGGTGCTGTTCTTCCCTGCTTTATGCTCTGTGGATCATCTGATGCTTTACAAGAAAGGAAAGGTTTGTTTTTAACTTTCTATTTTATATAGGTTTATTCATTATCACATTTCTGCCCGTCAATTATTCAATTTTGTATCATTTAGAATATGCTTGGGATATTAAAAATCTTGTAGTCTATCTGTATTACAGTATGGAATTGTTTGTCTCACTCAAACTTAGTAACTATGTACTCTGTAGTATTTCTAAAGATAATAGGTTGAAGTAGGTTGGTTGTATGATTATTGACTCAATGATTCTAACTTTCAGTGTGTGTCAGTCATAAACAGTGTAGGAATCAGCATTTGTCATCTTGACTTCTTGGTGTGCTTTGTTGTTCGAGTTGTCCTGTTTTTGCATGCTTTATTCTAATTGTTATAGAAGCGTTTTCATAGGTCCTGTAATTTTGTGACTAACACAATGTGCGTTTTAAATATATGCTTTCGTTTAGAACTTGTCGACATAATCTGTCATATGACCAGTTTATCTTGTCTATTAACTGTCTTAATACGTCACAATTTAGCATTTTTAATTTTCTTGAATGTTATCAACTGGCGTTATCCTTCAAAATGTCGATTTTTATTTTGAGTACTATATGTGCCTGTTCAGATGGGCCGTGGTTCTATTCTAGATTTTCTGAAAGCTTATTCCTTTGAGTTTTGCTTACCCCATGGTCCATAAAGTAGTGAAATGTGTACTGAACTTTTTTTTAATTGAAGAAAAGTACTGTCTTTCCAAAGCCGTAACAAGTTAGTTATGTAAGTTTTATATTTATAAATTAGTTTTTGTTTGTAGCATAACTAGGTGTTAGTTGGGTTCTCATAAAGTCAAACGAATAAACACACTTCCATGGTGAACAGTAGGATACGGGTATATTTGTTATGGTTTCAAATGACTTCATTTTTCCATTACTGTTAAACATCATAACAATTCTTCCAAACCACTTATCATAGGTATTTGACCGCGTGATTTTACTGATTCTTCTATCTCATCATCCATCAACTGCATGTGTTTTATAAGTTGCCAGTTATCCTCTTAATGTGACAGAGATTGTTCTCGATTGTAATACAGTAAATCATAAATATATTTTGCAGATTATATGGTTTTCATTTTGTGGTCGTCGTGTATAAAAAGCTAGGTGTGTATCTAGTCATTTTTTAAAATATATACACTGGATAAGCTGAATTTTATCTTTCTTGTTTTAATTATTCTAATTATTATTCGTACGAAAGTTGCTCTCGAGACAGCTGTGTGCATAAACGAAACGCTTTTGAAGGCTGTTAGATTATTCAATTCATGTACTATGAATAATTTGGATTCATGCGAATCAATAGCTCACAGTGCAATGGATTCGCACCGAGTCTCACTGAATTCAGGAAACCAAAGTGAATCGTTAGTCAAGTTGTAAGTTTTGATGTTCTGCATATTTATGTGTTAAGATAAATTCATAACACATTCTAATAAGACTTAAATATTTTTCTAAAATTTGTTTATGATGTTTGGTTGGTAAAATGACTAACTATTTGATAAATCTTCCAACTGAACGCTAGAATCGGTTTCCTATGCTCTTCTAATGACCCCAGGGTAAATCTACACGAGAGTAAAGGCATGAATTATGAAAAGAATGCTTTACTCCAAGGTTAGTTTATGTACAGAAAATCGAGGGTATTTATAGTATTTCAGATGATCTTGGGCTTCTGGAAGGTTCTGGAACCATCCAATCAGAAATGTGACACATGATTCCTGACTTTCTAGATATTTCTGAAAAATTTCTATTCAATACTAATTAGATGAAGTGCTTTCCAGCGTTTTTAGGGCCTCTCTAAACTTTTTTCGAGGAATAATTTAGATCCCCCCAATACTGCTAGATATGCTTTTCTAACAGCAGGTATTGGCTTACGGAAGCACAATCGCCAGTGCATCCAGAAAATTATTTATACCTTGGTAGGCATGCAAGTTTTCGGATAGTGCATGTGATAAGTGGTTTAAACATTTACTTATCATACACCACTTCTTAACGTCCTTATTATATAAATATGATATGGGTCACAGCATAGGATTTAATTCCAATAATATGGAAAGTTAATTATTGAGTGATCAAGAGCTTTGTGTTCACAAAATTACATTTTGAGATGGAAATTTCAGCAGTAACTATGACGTTTACTTTCCCTTGAATCTTATCACCATATAAAGCATTTGTCTATGATTACAATAATTAATGTATTATTTACAGTCTTTATCTTTTATCTTTACATCTGACAATTCCATAATATTTTAGCACTTGATTGAACTTAATTTATATTCTAGTTTTATAATTTATGTCAGTGATTTTTCGTTTTCTGGAAGAAGATGAAGTGTTAGTTTGATTTATGCTTTGAACGTACATTATTTACCATGGTTTGCTGAATATTGTTTTTAACACTTAAGAATATTTTGACTTGATAGATATTTTGAAATTAGGTTTAAATTTATTATCAACAGTAAAATACACGTTGGGAAACATACTGTAATAAATACCCGTTTTCTTTAAAATTAAAAAGCCACTTGTAACACATTGTAAGATATCATGAACAGAAATTCAGCTAGTGTACCAAGTTCCGCCAGAATAATCTATATTGTGTGGTTGTGATTGAATGCAAGGGTTGCATGTCTTGATATAAGGATTAATGTCAGATTGCTATACATAACTATGATCTTCAATTTCCTGTTAGTCAAGGATATCATTGACAGGCTGTTTTTGTTTAATTCTAAAAAACCTACACAACCATCAAATTCAGGTTCGTGTTACCGGACTGAACTTACTGCACTTTATTTTTTTGCCATGATGCAATAAAGATTCTTTCAGATCATCCTACGAATGGCTTCTCTGAGGCTTATTCACTGAGCACTTTCCTGGTACTGGCGTAAAACAAGGCAATGACCAGAAGGAATATTTGTTTTGAAAAATTACAAAATAATTATATAATACATATACATAGCCTTCGTCTGGTCTCCAAGTGTTTTTCCTACCCCGTGTTTTTCATGTACTGAAGCTCTTCTCCCTGACTGACGACTGTGGCAGTTTCGACACCACGTTTCGCTACATACTACTTACTAGCAATCTTGTGAGTACCGTCCGTCACACTAGAACATGGGCGAAGTTAAACGAGTAATCAGTTTATAATTTTACTGTACCGCGCAATGTGTCATATATACATTGAGTTGGCATCAGTCAGTATACTATAAATCATTCTATAAATTTTTATGAATCATCCAGTTCAGTGACGTAAGATATTGTCAATTGTGTTTAGGAATCTGTCACATAAATAAAAACTCTAGTTTATAGAGAAACCACGCTTCCCATTGTTCTGCAATAGTTTTTCATTTGATTATTTTCGTTTTCCATAAAATTGTGATTTCAGCGACGCGTTTCCTGATGCTTCTTTATAACAGGTTTCCGTGATAGGTTTGTTTGTCTTTAAAAATGATAGCAATATGGGATGTTTGTATAAATCTTCTTTATGAAACCAAACATCCTTGACGACATTACCAAAATATTTTGCCTATACTTTTTATAGTTCACAGGCTGAAAATTCAACTAAACAGTTTACAGACTCATCTCTCAACACCACAACTGATACACTATCCGGTGGACAAAACAATTCACAAATTTTGTGCACAGATGCAATCTTAGAAGCTACTTTTCAACTTCTTAATAATTCAAGTTTATTTACTCGCTTGGCAGCACTACGCTGGATTACTGTACTTGCAGAAGTTTGTTCATCTGATGTTTTTTCTCATGTTGATCGTCTTTTACCAGAAATGCTCAAACTAGTTTCTGATCCTGCTGATGAAGTAAGTTATACAGTGGGAATCAATGAAATTTTGTCTAGAAATGATATCAGCAATTTTGTCTTCATTTCATGCATGACTTTTTAAAATTTATTTTTATAGATGGTGCATTCTACTATTTCATTGATTGGAAAACTCAGTCATCATACTACTGTTGTTGGTAATAATTATCACAACAAAGAATCTGTTATTTTACCTCAAGAACTAGTTAAGTTGCTTCATGATCCGGCTATAGTGAATGGACAAAATAATAGTCAGATTTCTGATTGTTCAATGGAGACTTCATCTCAAGAATCATTACCGTCATCTTCTGCTCCAAATACATTTTGTTTACGATTTCTTTTGGACTTAGTCGAATTGTTTAACAAAGATTCAGAATTATTACGGAAACGTGGAGATATGATTATTACGTAATTAGCTTCATGGGTTGATTTTATTTTATATTTCAAGACGAAACAAACTATTGTGTCATGAAAATTTTATCAATTTTTCACAACCAGTGTTGGTTTGAATTACTTAATTTGATGGGAAAAGTGTTTCTAAACAAGATCTTTTCTTCAGTAACAATCCTCATTAGAAACTCGTTATTACCAGACAACATACGCTTGCTTGAAGGCTTCGCAAATGTCGATACTCTCGATAATAATGAAAACACTTTATCAACCAAATAAGAATAGTCTATTGAACAATTTTTCCTTTCAGTGTCAGTCACATGAAATGCTTACTAAGATATGTCCAGTTATCAAAACCATGAATAAGCGTAGTTTCTGTGTAGCAGTATGAACTATTTGTTTTAAATTTATTGGATCTGTGTATGCTTTACCTGAATGGTTGGTCCTACTTCATGATCTGATATCAGTACAACCAACGAATTTGATTTTAACTAAGAAATAACGATCATTTTCCGTTTCTATTTTTCATCAGGTTTGATGTCAAGTGCTTAGTACTGACTTTTGTTGAAATAATGGAGTGTATATTTGTTTGACCCATTTTTTAAGACTTCAATATTAAGGAATGTTTTATTTACATAAGTGGACGGATCATGCGTGCTTGGTTTCTCTTTGATAGGTCGATGTTTTTTCTGCCGTAGAGTATTTACTAAATCTTGTGGAACACATGATCTTTTAATATTTTCAACTGGAATGTTGATTATGTTTACCATATCCCCTTAAAAAGTAATGATTATTAGTCAAAATTTCAGTTAACCTGCGTAGGTATTCAGTATTTGTTTTGATTCCTTAATTTGTAAATGACTTTCATCACAACCCTTTTATAATGTTCTTTTACTTCTGCCCATTATGAATTCGCTAACGTATTTGCTTTTTGCGTTAAACGATCGATTGCTGTGCGATATTCTCACCCATTCTCAATCTACCAGTCAAAACTGCAGAAGGACCCTAATATTCTGTGTGATTCAAATCTGATGTCATTCTATTTACAAAGTACAAAACCATGGTACGCCATAAATGACAAACGCAGTATGTGAATAACAAGGACACAACTGAGTAGCAGGCTTCTGATTAATTTTATGGATGGTAAAATATATAACAACGGTTAATGAGCCAAATAAAAGCGCACAATTAAGTCAATTAAAAAATACCATAAGCCAATCGTGTAATATTAAAATATATTTATAAAAAGCCTCCCTAAAGAATAGATATCAAAGTTTCACACTTTCATTTATTCGCTCCGTCTTAGAAAACCTGGAATCAGTTAAGGAATCGAATAACTGATGAATAAGTGGTCGTAAATCGTACGAATGTTTGGTTGTAATATTGAACTTCAATGTAACATGTACTATCGACCCCACATTGGATCAAATAGAGGGTCTTCATGTTTTGCGTAAAGCACGAAGTTGAAATTCGACAGTTTGTATTTTTCAAATTTTGAGACTACATATAATGGAAGCTGCGGTTCAGTTTCTCTAACCTATTAGACTTAGATTTAGCCCATTTTATTTTAAGGTCCTTACAGGGAGATGTAATCTTTAGTATTTGGTCTGAGGTGTTCTTTTTTGTAATACATCCTGTTTGATTCACTGAATTAACTTAAGTTGCCGACTGTTGAATTTGTGTTTCGGCTCCCAGAGATGTCACTGCCCTAACCGGTCATAGGCATTAATCGTCGTCTTTTATGACATTAGAATGCTACTGAATATAAACCCTCAATATTCCCTCCTGGTCCTGTTGTGATGTGTTCTACTTATATCGACAGATATAAGTAGTATGTATCATTAGTTGAAAGTGAAATGCATGAAAGCAGAAGGTTAAGAAGATCGAAGGAAAGAGAACGATAACAGAATTATTGGTGTTGAAACGAAAGAACATTGAGGTCTGAGACGATTAATTAACATTTTGCAAATGAATTATTGTATGGTTCTCAAATTTTACCAAGAGATTCTGTAATTTTGTGTTCAAATACATCCGATTGTTCCCACTTGTGTTCTCGTTCATTACACTACCAGACTTGTCAAGTAAGTTGTTCATAATCAGCAAGTTTATTAAATCCTTTATTTATTTTGTTTTTACTGTTTTGTTAGCGATCTCTGCCAAGTTCTTGGTGCTGATACGGTTTACTGCACCGTTTCAACAATTATTTCTTATATTAAACCATTGGAATCAGCATTTGTACTGGTACAAGCGTTGAATCGGATTCTTTTAACTCAACCAGTGTTACATAATTTCCGTAAACAATTACGTTGTATTAATACGAAGGTAAGGTGGAATAGGTAGTGTTCATTTATAAATATTGGTATATTTCCACCAAGAGATAATCACAAATATTTGATTCTGCTAACATCTCTTAGTACTATTCGATGCTTTCCCTCAGTTGATTGTTTAGAGGTTTTATTTGTTTATTTTTTCGCTGTACTAGTAAATTTTATCTAATAATACTTAATTGTTAAAATAAACTCGTTTTTAAACAGTATATGTTTCTGGGAAAAGGTTGGTCTTCTAGCTTCGGAGAAGTCTTTCAACTATTAGCCATTTATTCTGGGTTGCCAAAAGTTTCATTGATCCTCGATATATACCCCGAATCGATTTCATAAATCTCATTCGACCAACATTGTTTTAAAACTAGATTAAATTAAGTAATGGGATATCAAAAGTCGAATACTAAATGTTTTAAGCCTATTATGTTTCTAAAACCATACAAGCGAATGATTACAGCCTGATCCAAATTGTTGAGTTAAACATCACTCAGTTTTTATGTAAAATAAAACCAATTAGAACATAGATAAAGACAGACAACAGACGGACTTATTCATTTGTAAATAAGAATGAACATAATTTATCGTTCGAGCTTATCTCATGTAACTCATAGGATTACTATGTGTCTACTTTATAAGCTCTTTACTTATCCAAAAAGAGCTAGTGCCAGTATAAGTCAATCTTTCTCAGTGATTGTTTGCTGAAGTCTATCTGACTCGAATATTGATTAGTTCGTGATGATAAAATTTTACGCCATTGACCTTCATATCTCAACTATTAGTTTGTAATAGTAGATCACCTGATTAAAAAATTGATTCTAGTTACTACGCTTATCGATCATTCAATAGGATATACTTTAATGAGCAACAACAATACTTGGTGTTGAGGAATAATCCTAACCCACTGAATGTCTCCTTGTCAAACAATAAAATCGAATTATGAGTGGTTTGTTAAATAATCACAAATTCTTCTATATATAACATAGTCCTCACTTTATGTAGTTAAGTAACAAAAATATATGCTAAACAACAATATTATTTGTGAGATACGTTCGTGTATTGACATCACTTTAGCTCATCCAAACAATTATGCCTAATAATACTGACAGTACTTTAAGTATACCACACGACTGATTTCAATTTTTACACTTTTTTTTCACAATATATCTTTATATTCAAAGCATTTGTCTATTTTCCTTTTTTATTTTACAAAACAAATATCTACATTCTCTCCATCGTATGTACATATTTTAGGCCCAATGTCAGTTGTTTGAAAAACTGTATCGTGCTTGGTGTTATAATCCTGTTTCTCTGTTAGCACTATGTATGCTGACTGAAAATTATAAACATTGTAGTCGTTTAGTGAAATCATTGTATCCTTTTTTTAATTGGAAAAAAGTAGAATTTTAACAATGGATTTAATTTTCAATCAGTTTTTTAACAGCATATAAAATAAATGAAGTGGTTAGTTTTTTTATAATTTCCATTGAATAGAACTAATCTATGGTGTGAGATTTAAAGGGCATTTGTAAATGTGTTGTGTGTACAAAGAGCTTGCAGCAATTATTTCTGGTATTGTTGTATTCTATTCATCGTAATTAATAGACAACGAGTTAATCAATTCAAGAGAGTAGTGGTATAACTTACCACATGTTGTATCTCGAGTCTAATAAAGCTAAACATTTCTCAATGAATTCTAAGGAAGGAAGTGGACTTGGCAGCTTCGCAAAAATATTCAGATCACTCTGTTAATTACACTTACTGTATGCAAGGTAAGTGAACTCCTTTGACTAATAATCGCGGTAGATCGAGTGAAATACAAACGGTTATCCTACTAGTGAAATTACTATGTCTGAAGAACTGAAGGATGCTTTTGGTGATTTTTGACAAAATTTACTTCCTTTTCTGACTTAAGAATTAAACAATTCACTTCATAGTGCCATAATATCAAGTATCATTTTCTGATAAGTAATATGCCTTTGGTTACCATATCTTTAATAATATTTAAACCATAACTTCGTCCACACTTTTACCTCATTCAAAAACTATTCCGGTTCCGTATACGTTGAGATATACGTTTTTTTTTAGAAATGTACAATTTCATTTATGTGATAGCTTAATTGTATTTTAATAATTAGAATAAATATTGCGGGGAAGAAGAACAAGGAGATTTGATAAACAATCATATGTCAACTAAACGATACTTAGTTCAAATAGGGAATGAATTTATGCGTAAGGTAGTGCGTTCTGCATGCTCCATGCGTTAGTTTTATTCCTTAACGATATTATTTTGTTTTTGACTAAGCGGAGATATTGTTATTACTGTTGAAACTCTCTGTGATATGGATCAGCTAATTCAAATGATAGAATCACCAATATTCTCCAGTAAGTTTATACATCAATGATAATATTGAGAATTGTTTAAATTAAGTCACCTATTGATGTACCCTTTTTCATTACGCATCTGTCTGTTTGCACAATACCATATTATAATTTTTCTAAATTAAGGTGTAATCAGATCAAGGGAGTTTTCGTGCATTTTGGCAGACATGCAAATGTTATTTTACTGAAATTGGTTCGGTGTTAGTGGATTTTGTCATGTATTAGGCTTCAGTTCTAAGAAATTAGGCGATGTCGTTGAATAATGAGATAATCATAATATCGTTCAATGTGTGAGCATGTTATCATTACTTTTATGATTTGTGCGGTTCTCTCATGTTTGTTTGAAAAGTATTTTGAATTCTAAGGTTTTAAATGTACTCTGACAAGTTTATCTTCAATATATATTCTTATTGAGCTAACTCTTCTGACTGTATGTATAATTTTAAGGGAGGCTTCTAGTGAAGCGAAGTGGCTAGAATTGATTAGATGCTCCGAGATTGAGCTTTTGACTAACTTCTGTAAACGTTTGGAGAGCCAGATAGTGTAATATTCGGAAATGCGTTTCGAAAAAACTCGCTTTGTGTGGCCAATATAATCTACTACACATGATCAAGTAAACTGACAGATACACACTGATTTCTCTCAGACTTTCAAGAAAACGTTCTATTGGGTTGAGCCTCACACTATCTTTTCTAGCTGACCCATGATTCTAAGTTGCGTAAAGGACAATCTCCCGTATTGGGCGAAATCAGTGTAAATCTATCAGTTTACTTGATCATGTGAAGCAGGTTATATTTGCCACACAAAGCGAGTTTTTTCGAAACGCATTTCCGAATATTACGCTATCTAGCTCTCCAAACGTTTACAAAAGTTAGTCAAAAGCTCAATCTCGGAGCATCTAATCAATTCTAGCCACTTCGCTTCACTAGAAGCTTCCTTTAAAATTATACATACAGTTAGAAGGAGTTGACTCAATGAGAATGCAAATGAAAAACTTATGTACAGCAAAGGCTATTGCTATCCACCAGTTTTAGCCTAACCTTTGTGGACAGAAATAGTATGCTCAACCCCTCATTCATCCATGACCCTAACCTCGCTTTCTATATTCCATAATATATCGTTTTTATTTGTTTTATCATTCCTACTCCTTTCCAGTTGTTTTCACAACTATTAACTAGCAATCATTACAACTTTTAACAATTTTGTTCTTAATAGCTATCAAGTGGATAATTATTTCGCCTTACCATTTTTCACTAACCGATCGCTACTTAACTTCCTTTCAATATCTGATTTCTAATTCGTGACAACATAACACTCCAAGTTTTTTGATTAGCTAGCTGCTTTCTATCTCACTATTGAATACTATTTTAGCGAATAAAATTGATAATTTTTACGTAGTTTGGCATATACTTACGTATAATAAATTTCGACATATTACTCACTAAAGAAGCACAATATACAGTTAAAACGTAATGTTTCATTTTTCAGGTCTTCGGATGCATATGCTTGATAAACGATTCAGTGCTGATCTTCGCGAAACTTTATATTGCCTACTTATGTGTCTTCCACAAACAGATGCCTTTCAGACACTTTGGCGACGCTTACAATGCTTACCACCTGTGGAATATATTTCAGATAATCCAGTGTAATAATTATTTTCTTTAGTTTCTATTTATTTCCAGATGCTCTGTGCAATCATAAGATCTGAAACACGGAGAATTAAATATTGATTTGGAGCGTTATTAAGTGTTAAAAATGATCTACATGGTTATAACAAGAACTCATTTAAGTATAGCTGGATGTAATCAGCATTTAATTTTCCAGTGTTTGAAATCTTATGGTTATCTTTCAAGAGTTATATTACCTTCTTGATAATGTTTTAAGACGTTAAATCCTTTAATGAGACACGGTAGGGATTTTCCCATTGCTGTTATGACTGACTGTTTTTATTCTTTTGTATTGAATGTCATGTTTAAAGAATTCTCTATTAATAGTAGTCATTTTATTCTGACTTTTGCTTGTGTTGTATGATTTAGTATGTCTTATTCTCAATTTTTGAGCTTTTTATGCATTACTACAATCCGTTATAAGTTAAATGCATTTGCGACCTAATGAATTTACGCCTACTGACTTTATATAACAAATGTGGGTAACTGTTTATGCTACTTACTAATAGAAAGTAGTTCGATATCCCAAGCTGTAATAAAGTGGAGTCCCCTTGAGTGCTTAGTCTGTTTGCTATAATAAGAGCAAAACTGTCATAGTTAACTGTTATTCATTGGATTTGTGTATAATGGTTTAGTTATCTTGAATAAGATTTCCATATTGAACTAATATTTATTGTTATAAGGTATAAATTTTTAAACCATTTCTTTTTGTATTGATCCACTCTTTTAAGTAGTCGGATTTCAAAAGGTCCCCAGTCTACACAGAATATAATTAGTGTGTACATCAACTTTAATGAGTTATTTGATTACTTTCATTCAATTCAGAAGCAATCTGATGAATATCGTTTAATGAAAATGATAAATCACAATAGGAATGGAGCACAACCGCAAAATCAAAATAGTTATACAATATCCAATGAAAATCGTTCAAATAGAGGTAGTCTTGGAAACGTTTTTAATAAACTGGCTGTCTCCGATGAAAAGCCATCTGATAATATATATCCAACTGATATTCAGAGGAAAATTGATTCTAAAACCACAGTTTGTTCAGCTAATGATTATCTTACTGCGGTAAATTTGTTTGCTCCCTGTAATATTGTTTTAATTATTTTCGTGAATTAAATGATATTAATCTTAATGATGCTCTCAGCAAGCACAATAACAGCTTCCCTACTCGCAGCATAATCTCCACGCTTTCTTATAGCCTATCATGATGACAGGAAACTTAATGTATGTAACTGATGTAATGGCATGTGCAGTGTTTTTAACTTACTAAAGCTAATGTTTAAGTATGAACTTCATTTATGGAAAAAAGTATTCAAGGGGTTTCAAACAAACCACCTCTTCTTAGTGTCTTCTGAATCGTTGCTGAGAAGTGATTTCAAGATTTCACATACCACTGTGATTTATGTTTCTCGTATATACAACCAAAACAAATGCTTATTGTGTACATAAAATTAGCTATTTGTTTCTCTTTTTTCACCTTGGATTGACTTGTCAATGTTTTTAAGTGGAAGTTTTTATCTATTTCACCAGATATTTCATCATTTTGTAATTATTCCATTGATTACTTTGCTCATTTGCTACTCTCACTGTTCGATTGTAAATTCATTTTCAACACAGATGTTTATTGATCCACGTTACCATACCTCATCTCAGCACAGCAAGAAGAGAGAAATGGGACTAATACCCATAACAGTCATCACAATGAAAAGTATAATTAAAACAAACAAATAAAATTGATTAATGCGAATTACAGAGTGAATACTACCATAGTTTTTTTATTCTCGCTAATAATATTGCTCTCACACTCTAGCAGACGGGTCGGATATTTCTTCAAAAATGTTCTGTTAAATTTGTCGATATGATTCACAGTGTAGTGAGATATTTATTTTTAATTTGAGAAGACACAGTAATAAAGCTGAATTCTCATCTGTACTATCATTGATGTATACCTAGATGCTTCATATTGAATTTTATCTAATATTATTCTAATATTTTTTTTCGAAATCTTTTTTTAGAGTTTTGCCAATCTAGGAATAAACATTGACTACGGTGCCCCATTGAATATCGTTGATTAGTTGGGTTTTTGTCGGAATCGTTTGCATGTTGAATATGATGCTTTTTATTGATTTTTGGATTTTTATCTTTACATACAAATGACTCCATGTGATCACTTCTATTTACATGTACTATGTTAAATTGTGATTTTTTAATACTTCTGAAACTGCATATAACTGGTGATTGAAAATATGATACATTTAAGGTCACTTCATTTATTTTAACTTTTTCGTAATTCTTAAATATGATTTTTCTTCATTACCAGTCTTTTGTTCTTTTGTCAACTGTGATCAATAAGACGATTGAACTTTCTTGTTGGTGTCCTTTTACAACGGATAATTTCCATGTATATTCGGTACTTTATACAATTTATTTGTATGGATGTACGCAGTTGGTGTTGGTCACGTGTGATGAGGTAGCTTGTAATTGTTGCTCAACTTCAAATAGACTAAACATCTAACCAGTGGATCCTTGTAGTATGTATATGTACAAATGGGGTGGATTGTTAGGTGTACTTTGTCACATTGCCTACCAAATTTGACAACACTATTTAAGTCTCCCTTCCCAAGTTTGGCTGTTACGACTTTAAATGTATGGAAAACAGCTGAGTTTTTTTCAGGTAAATGGTTTAATCCAAAAAAAGATTAAGAAATTTTTAAAATGTTTATCAAAATTCAGGATCTTGTTATTCTGAATTGTGGGAGTATTCTTTACTGACATTGCATTGACAATTCATTGACGTTTTAATATTTAGTCTATAGACATAAAATTGTTACTAAATTAGATAGGAAACTGTGATAGATTGTCTAAATTCAACTAATATTTCAGTCAGTTTGTCTAATGATATTGCATCAACACTTCCTCAAAGATCTTTCGAGTCAGTTCTTTAACTTTTCATTGTATTTTCCATTTCGTAGCTAGTTTCAGCTTTATCAACTGCTTAAGGTTTAGTCATCTAGTTTCATCACATGTAGACTCAAAAGAATGAAATTGACTGATAATCCATCATAATTTTACGTGATGTATTCTCCCCATCATTACAGGGACTTGATTTAAGGGAGACAAACTAAGTCATTTTGTACAACCTTTTCAATTGTTGTTTTGGATCCAGTATTTCATATAAATACTGACAGCTAATTAGTGTTGCTTTTGCTATATATAGTCTTCGTCGGATATAACAATTCGTTTAACACTCGTGAGTGGGATAAATATGACATTTTATTTGTTTACTTTTGGAAGTATATGTTTCAGTCATCGGTGATCTGTTACTAGTATCATCTTAAATTTGATTAGATAAAAGGGGTGCTAGTAGTCTTCCATTATTTTGGAATTAAAACATTGTCGTACGACCTAAAAAGACATGTAATGCATAAAACTATTATCAAGATACAAGTCTACTATCAGTTGTGCCTAAGTCGCTGGGTTCCACTGTTTCTTATAACCCGGATTTTTGCTCCGAACATTTCCTATATGCTGACATATAACAAATCACCTGATGATCCATTAAATAGAAAGAATTAATAGTCGACATATCTGTATCAAATTTCTTAAGGAAAACTGCTGGTCCGATCTAACCTCAAGACTTAGTAGTCTGAAATGTCTTGGGGACACATTAGTACTTTCACACTAGTGATTTACTGAAGAGAGACATACAAACATCGGCCCAAGTTTCTGCATCTCATTAGCATAACAAGATGGACAAATTCATAAAAGCAGTTACTTTAATGATAGTAAAAAAACGTTTCATATAAGGATGTGATATAGGGAGAAAGAAAGGTATAAAGTAATATTAATCCCAAGGTTTAAGGGAAGACAAATAGTGTGTACGCCGACGCCATTGTGATAGATTCTGAGCCATGTAACACAGTCTCCAACCATTGGTTACAATGGTCACGCAGACCCCAATTAAGTAGTCTGCATCTACGAACATGGCTTAGACCAGAAGTTAGTGACTTCAAGGACTGATGTCGAGTTTCGGTTTGGCCACTCCTAACTTTCCTCCAGCCGTCTCCAACACTAGTCAGCATTACGCGCCGTGATAAACGGTGTTCAGGCATACGTAACACGTGGCCCAACCATCTCAGTCTATGAAGATTCACAACCTCATCAACTGATTTACCACCATTCCCTGATACCCTGTGTCTAACTTCACTATTACTTACCCAGTGGTCCTAGCATATACGAGCAGTTTTTCTAAGGCATCTGTGGTCAAATACTAGTAGCTTACGAGGATCTTCTACTCTTAATTGCCACATTTCGCAGCCGTAAAGTAGAACGGAACAAACTGCCGCGAAGTATACTGGTCCCTTAATTAATAGACGGATATCTCGCCTTCGCCATAGGTGACGTAAATTGGCGAAAGCCAAACGACAACTTCACTCCCTATCCTTAGTTCAGGTGTTGATGCAGGCCAGTCCTAAAGCAACAACTTGTATTTAGAGGGGGAGGAACGCATTCCAAACATTCTGGTATAGAGTTGTTCAGTGCTACCAAAAGACTGCATTTGATCAGCGTTTTAACCAAACAGGACTGTGTCATTTGAGTATTCTAAGTCGATAAGTTGACCTCCTGGTAGGAGATCAATTCCCAAAAATTCAGTCGACAAGAACGTTATTTCCATCAGTAGGTCTATGATGAAGTTAAACAAAAATGGAGAAATTGAACAGCTTTGACGGACACCACTTGAGGTTGCGAAGGCAGATGACAGTCTGCCATAAGCTCTGACTCGACTAGTAGTGTTCGAGTAAAGAGCCTTCACAAGGTTTATGTACTTCTGAGGTATGTCTTTCAATGACAGACACTGTCTGTGTTCTAGAACCTGACGAATGGTGAATATGTGGTCGATGCAGGCACGACCAGGTCTGAAGCCAGCCTGATTTTCTCGTGTTTGCAGTTCACGAGTCTTAGGCGACCGACAATTATTGACGCTAGTATTTTAGATGTTATGTTAGTCATACTAATCCTTCTATGGTTGTCACAGGATGATTTTAACCCTCTCTTATATATTGGGACGATCAGTGATTGTGACCAGTCAGATAGGATAACGTCCAACCCCCAGATTTTAGCTAAAATATTAGTCAACTTAATCACCGAAACTGGACCACTGTACTTAAAGACCTCTAGAGCCAATCTATCTGGACCAGCTGCCCTTCCTCATTTCAGATTAACTATAGCCTTTTGAACTTCAGCTAGATTTGGGAGACCTACTTCAATGTTCCATTCACACTGTCTGGGAATGGTGGGTAGTTGTAGAGTAGCTGAAGTTTAGCTGAACTGCTCCTTAGATTGTTCCACCCATCGTTCTAAACGTCTGGACTGGGAGCAGATGAGAGTGTCGTCTTTTTCCGAGATGTTCTCACTTACACTTGACTTATTAATTCCAGTTCCTTTTACTAGTCTGAAAAGCCGTCTTGTGTTCCCTATAGCCGCCGCCTTTTCCATCTCTTTTGCTTTCGTTGCCCATCACTGCTCACGATCGTTCTTGGTCTGCTCGTACGTAGTGCTATATCTATACCCGCCAGTCCACTTTGGTTAACCTAGATGTGATTTGTTTTCGCCCTTCATCGTGTTCGGGGCCTGATGGGATGAGTTTACGAGAATCTGTCAATGCAATAGACTTAGTAGAAATCCATTGATTTTTCGTAACCCTTCGTTTTGAATCACTAATAGATGTCGTTTCTGTTTCCACAGCTGTCCGTGTATCTTTCCAAGCAACATCTGGGTCAGCCTCGTTTTCAGAACTACCTAAGTGTGACCTTAGTTGTTCCTGAAATCTACTTTTGGCTTCCTTGTCACTGAGTTTGACTCTAATGAGTATTCTTAATATGGTTTCTCTGGATCCAGTGAGGCGCAAGCAGATGCGTGCTCGTATTAGAGCATGATCAGAGTCCAAACATGTACTCTTGAACTGGTGGCAGTCTTCTATCGAGCTTCTGCAACGATGACTGATGGCAGTATGGTCTATTTAAGTCCATCGTTGATTTGGTGTAGGGGGTCGCCATGTTAGACGATGTCTCTCTTTATGCTTGAAATTCGTGTTTGCTAATAATAAACGATTATCTGAGCACAGTTGCAGCAGATGATCACCATTATCTGTTCCCTGAGCCGGAATATCAAAATACCCACCTAAATGTCTTTCCTTTTGGTTTGTGCTACCTATCTGGGCATTGAAGTCACCTTCTACGAGTAATATGTCTGAACGTTTAGATTTCTGAAGAAGTTCAGAGAGCTTTCTGTAAAATTCATCTTTTACTTCATCCGTGCTGCAGTCGGTGAGAGCATAGGCAGAAATGACGAAAAGGTAACGATGTGTGTCCCTGTCCTTCCGAGTTCTTACGGAGCCGTTTAGCCGAACAGCACATAGACGACTGTTAACGGGGATCCACACTAGTAGTGCTTGTTCCGCCCTCATACTTAGTGCTATGCCTACACACACCAGTCCACGAGAACTAGCCATCTGGTTGGCAGATACACGTAGGGTGTATCTCGTCGGCTTTCCCTTTTTGTCGATGTAAGGTTAAGTGAATGACCACACTGGGATCCTGTATGTGTGTTTCGGAGACACAGCATACATCAATGGTAGGAGATTCTAGGGTTTTAGCCAAGGAGGCCTGGTGAATGGTTTGACATAGAGTGCGTACGTTGAGGGCTCCAATGTGTAGTTTGGAGCGAGGTCTCAGTAGACCTGGGACAGTGTTTTGCGCACTAGAATCGTTGGCTATGGTGACACTTGAGGAGGAAGCCAAAAGAGGAAGTTTAGAGTTGAAAGTCGATATAGGAGGAGTAATAGGAATTGAAGAGAGAGGTTGATTATGAATACAGTGATCTTGAGTTCTGTTAGAGGTATGAGGGCGGTTATCACTTCACGGTTGCTCACACTCTGTAAGGGTTCTTCTGGAGGTACCTGAAAAGGGAATTGTGTTAGAGGTGGTCATAGTGACCTGAGAGCGTGATCGCAGTGCCCAAGGGACAACTGCTTGAGGCTGGTCACACACGGTTTTTTGTGCTAGTTCGGTACTTA